CTAATGGAAGGAGCTTGGAATTCCTAATGGAATGGACCATGTGGAGTGAGGTTTCAGACGCTCATGTGAGGAGAACAGGGTCATCCCTGCACATCCCTGAATTCTGGGATGCTACGAAGCTGTCCTGCTCTTCCTACACCTCTTCCCACTTCAGTTCTTCAGGTTTGTCTCAGGTGACTGCAATGCTGAAGACTGTATCAAAACTTTTTCAATTCTTCGCCCCACCCACCACAAAGCTCCCACTTCCAGGGTCCTGCAATTTCAGAGATGAATCCAATTCGTTTMAGGGAGAAAAAAAACACTCTTCTATGTCATATATTGACAAAGAAGACCTGGGGAGTGTGTTTTCTCTACACATTACAAAGCAAGAGACATAAAGACTATTTAGCAGTTCAGGAATTCTGGATTACAAATAATGGAGCAGCTTCAGCTACATAATACACTGCACTTTTTGAAGTCTTCATGTCTCTTTTTAAAAATAATACATAAGAATTCAATGAAAAACATTCCTGAAAGTGCTGGGATCCGATTAGCAATAGATTTTCTACAGTTTCCTCAAGTAGACTAATAAATATATTGACYGTTGTTTAACTTAAGTGACCTGATTTGATTAAATTCCCTCCACCAGGAATATAATCAATACCGATTAGGCCAGTTTACTGGTTAGTTGTCTTATGTTGTCTTTTAAGACTAATTTTCAGTGTTACAGACATGTTAAAAAAATAAAGAAAAGAGAAACTGTGTTTGTATGAGGTAACCAAAAACCCCACAGTAGACACAAAGCAGGTCAGCGCTGTCCACACACACAGAGGSAGCAGGGAGCGTTCTGGGCCTCTCTAACACACACACACACACGCTCTGTTCCTCCCCACACCCGAAAGAAAGAAAAGGGGCCCTCGGCCTTGCCAGACTCTTTTAATATTTCCACTTAACTGCTCGTAACAATCATTCAAAAAGAGCACCGCAACACGGTGGAGGGCACTTCTGCAGTTCATGGCATACCAGGCCTCCTATCATTTTAGCTTTAACAAAACAATTTTAAGTTTACTTTTAAGAGTTTTTAACTTGGAAACTGCACAAGTCATGAAACGAAAAGGCTCATCAGAGGCAATCAGCTTGATATTAGAACAGCAGGTGAGACTGTGTGTAATCATAGATTCATAGAATCACAGAATCCCTGGGGTTGGAAGGGACCTCTAGAGATCATCTAGCCCAATCTCCCTGCACCACACACAGGGTCACCTAGAGCATGTGGCACAGGGCTGCATCCCAGCGGGTTTTGAAGATCTCCAGAGAAGGAATAATACAGTTTAATACAATTTGAGAACAATTACTCTGAAGGTCGCCACTCCAGATTAGARGCTGGTTTACATTTTCCTCATGACTGTAACAAAAGTTCTGACATGTCTCAAAATCTGGCCTTGCTTGAGCCATTTAGAGTACTTGCTGCACCTTCTGAAGCAACAGCTAGCAAAGCAAATCCYGCAATGGCGTGCCATGTGTTGGTAACACAGTAACTTTATTTTTACATTTCATTAGCAGATTGTAGAAAAACCTTTATATTCCTGCACATAAGGTTTCAATCTAACTTGTGCTTTAAAYAAAATACTAGCTTTTTATTTTATTTTATTTTCCATTAAAAAGGTCTCACTTTCTTCAGGCTTCAGTGGAGGGGGAAAAAAGAGCTGTTTGCCCCAAATCTTTCTGGGTAGCATTGTGGTCGGCAGCTGCTGATTAAACACGTGAACGAGACCTTTCTGGAGAAGACTCACGCTACACATGGACTCACTGCAATCCAGCACAAAATCAACACCCCACTGGAATGACTGAAATAGTATCATAAAAAGCAGTATCACCGCTGCCAATAATTGGTATTGGTAGCAACATAATGGATACCAACAGCAATTCTTGTTTTCAAACAACCTGCGCATCATATAGGGTAAGATTTTTATGAAATGTTTCTAAAGCACAACAGCTCAAATTTCTGTTTCTTTTGCAGCTCAGCTCTTAGCCAGTGACATTGAACATTTGATAAATGGCAGAATTCTTAATAGAGGTTATAGACTTAATCTTGCAAATTGCCTTCTAAGAGGTGACAGGAGACATCGGTACAAACAATCCTTCAGGAGCATGCAGAATTTGCAGATTATGCAGTTGCAGAGTATGCTGATTGCATAATCGAACCTGTAATTTCAAAGCCAGTCAAGAGGTGAGTTTAGTTAATTCCCTTAGAGAGAGCAAGCACAAGATAAATGTCTGGTGAAGTCAATAAAATTCATTTTTGTAGTCTTGCATGCAATATATTGCTTTGGCTTTTGGAAGCACATACCCTACAGTGTTTTTTATTTTATTGTGACAGAATGGGGACCCAGCTAGATCTCACATAGCATTTCTCCTACCATATCTTTTTTGACAGCGGCCCACAGGTTAGTAACACAGAATCCCTAAAGCCCTGGCCTGACTTTCAAGGCTTAGTTCTCATATTTCACACTGTTTATCCTCATGCTTTCTCATTTCTTACTTCTTCAACTACAAACGTTACCTCCTCTTTCAAGTTCCTTTAAACAGTACAAAAATATATCAAGAGTCTTAAGAGGATTTTGATGACTCAACTTCAGAAACTGAAAGGAAGGGAGCCCCATCCCTGATGCAAGACTCAACTGCCACCTCAGGAGGCTTTCAACCACTTTTGACTCTTTCTTCCTTTCCGCTGTTCTTCTTGAATATGTGCATGAGTTGTTGTCTTCTCACACTTGGGCTAACTTTATAAAAGCACTTCCTCAGCCATGGAAAACTGCTGAATTAATTTACCATTTTAGTTTTTAACAGAAAGAAATGAATATCAAAACTTTGAACATACAAAGGGTTCTTGGACAAGAGGTGCTGCACAAGTATGAAGGATTGTCATAGGCATTTTTCTTCAGCTACTAATTAACACATCAAGGATATATTCAGAATATTCTGAAATATTCTGAATATTCACAGCACCATTTATTTTGCTTCTGCCATAAAATCCTATTTAAAAAAAAAAAAACTTCTCAATGAATAAACTAGTCATTTCTCTTTATTTAGAGGTTTTACTTAATATAAAAGCTCTTCTCACAGCCAAGAGTAAGGTTCAARATACAAGTCCTTGTTCCACTAAAACTATCACATTTTCCAAGTTATTACCATGTGAGAACAGGGTTTCTGTCTGGAGAGGACAGCAAAGATTGGTTGGAGAGAGGAGATAAAAGCACTCTGGATAGCGCTTTTATAGATGCAACAGATTAGTCCTATTAAAGTTTAAATAGATATTTATATGGAATTCCTATTGTTCAGTAATCAGCTTCCAAAAATAAAGCAAATGTGAGATTTATTTAAAAGTTATTCTCATTATTGATTTTCCTCATAGTTTGTTATTACTAACGTTAGCATTTCTGAAATCTCTTACTATAATAATACAGCAAATCTCACAATACTACTAGGGGAAGGCTCTAGTGCCAGCACACTATTATAAGAATACTAAATACATGTCTGGTTCTTTTCTTCATCAATTTCTGTTAATTCTACTTTTTGTTTGACTCTTCCCCTTTTCATTGCTTTGTGGCTTCCGTGACATAATCATGAGTATCAGAAAATAATGGCTCATGGAGAAACACTTTAGTACTTTTTTCCTGCCTGCTCATCCCATAAGCATGGGATGTACCATTAGCAGATGACAAGCCCTTAAGAAGCCCAGAGTTGAGAAGGAATCCTGCAATGCTATTCAATATATCTCAAAGTTGCTTTAATATCCCATCCAAAATGACTTGGCAGCAAAGCAGAAGCTATATAGTTCTATGTGGCTGTAGAGAAGCTGTAGTTCTACACAGGACATAACATAAAATCAGTCAAAATGAGGCATCTCACCCTGAACCTCTGCAGTTTCCACTAGACTTGATTCTAGTGGAAACTAGTTCCACCATTTTGAGCTAGATCCCCAATCGGACCATCTTTTTGTCTCCATTCTGGCAGAGATTAACCATACACTTCTATCCAGCATTAATCTGTCCACCCCTTCTGGAGAGAGCTATCCGAAACTAAAAAGCAGTCTTTTCATACCATAGGACAGCTCCTATCTCTCCAGCACACACACACACACACACACACACAAAATTTTTTCCTATCAAAGACAGTTGTCTCTTCAGGCCAAGTGATTCAGATAAACCAGCTCCCAAACTCCAGGCAGTTTTTTTTTTTACTTTTTTTTTTTTTTTTGAGAAAATGGGATACTAGAAAAGATCTGTTGACTTGGCCTAACTACCTCCAACCAGCTCCCAAACTCCAGGCAGTTTTTTTTTTTTTTTTTTTTTTTTTTTTTTTTTGCATTAAAAGACAAAGATCTTTCTAAACAGCCTTACCTGAACTGGATTTCATCCCTTAATTCCATCATTTCATGTGGTTGTAGCAGACTGACGGATAACCAAATTCTGTGGCTTCGGTCCCTTCTTCAAGCAGATTGGTAGCATCTCTCTCTCAGACAAAACTGTAGGCTGTAGCTTAATTGTAAAAGCAGTGCATTTCCAGCTGCATCGGTATCACTGTGCATTCATTATTTATCCATGTGTATGATTCCCTACTTTCTGTGCAGATAAACAGGCTTGCATAAGGCTTCAAGTATATGAAAGCTGCCCACTCTTTCACCACCAGAGGGGACTCCTCTCTGCATATGGTACCAYATGGCCTTTCTCAACCACACAGGTGGCCTTAATGAGCCAGCTCTATTCCCAGTCCTCTGCCACTGATTGTATTTCTTGGGTTATTTTCTAATGAAAAATTTTAATTTGAAGRAGACTGTTCTGATCAGGGCATACATGGTACCATGCACACATATGATGCTGAAATATCTGTACGTAGGGCATCTTACTTATTCCTGCTTTGCATAAAGTCCAAGAGCTCTGCCAGCATGGGAGAATGAAGATGATTTACAGGCTTGGTTGCAGTGACCTTTCTGCATTATTGATGCAAACCGTGCGACAAGTCAACCTTTGCATCAGCTGATGAAACTGTATCTCAACCGAAAGGAAGAAGCAGCAAATTCTGCCCTCTTTGGGAGACCCTCTGTCCGAGAATKCGACCTTGCCAGATTTTGTACTGCAGAAGATCAACTATATATACACATGTATGTATGTGTATATACATACACTGTTACTATAAACATGTGTGGATATAGTACATACAGTGTGCGCACACACCCACAGCCGCATTCCGAGCGACTGAGGGRTGACTCCAAAGGCTCCACATATGAGTTGGAGACTGGAGAAGTGCTGGTAAGCAGCGATACTCCTCAGGCACCACCTGGCCCATGCCAGGAGATTTACAAGGAGCTCTGCAGAGCCTTAACCCTCGTGCCCTATAACCCAGCCGCCGTAGTGCCGCTGGCCCTCCTTGGACAGCGGGCAGAAAGTGGCTGTGTTCTCCCCCGGATAACGTTTTCTAGGGAAGTGCAGCACTCAGGGGTTAGCTCAGCAGCAGTTCCCCACCACGAGGCCGCCCAGGTGCTGCGCCCGCCGCGGGGGAGCTGGCCGAAGCTCTGATTTGGGGCACGTGGCCGTGGCGCCGCCCTACCCCATAAACCGCGGCCGCTCCCCTCTCCCTCCCTTCTCCTCCATAGCGCCCCGGGGTGCCCTGTGGCGGCCGCACGGCGGGGGAAGGACGGGCCCTTCCCCGACACCCCCGCGCCATTTGGCGCCTCCAGCGCCCGCAGGCGAGGAGCGGCGGCCGGCAGCGCTCCGGCCCCTTCCCCGAGGAGCCGCCCGGGCTGCGGCAGGCGGCGGGGCTGGGCTGGGCCGGGCCGGGAGGCGGCCCCGGGACACGGGCGGAGCGGAG